GAGTGTCTACAATAGAAGGTTTCACTTTACATTGTATGTATGTTTTAAAGTGGACATAAGGTACAGATGTACACACACACGTTCCATTATTCCTTTCTCTCTCTCTCTCTTACTTTTCGTCTATACACTGCATGAATAGGTTGCTCTTTTTAGTGGGCGTGACCATTGATTCAGAGCTAGAAGATGAGTCCAGCTTGCGTTTGAACCCCGCCCCAGTGGGAGGACTAATCCCATTAATACCAAGAGGCTTAGGACTATGTGGAGAACCCAACTGTGGCTTTGAGAACCCAAGAGACAACTAAAAACATGTACATGTACTTTGGGATTAATGGGGGCGGCTTACAAGTGACTCTCCAGTCTTGGTTTTTCCGACCGTGTTTGAGCGATTATACGTAGCTACGAGAATATGGGATAGGAGAAAGGTAGATGTCATGGACTTACTTAAATTAGATGCCGCCAGTGATAGAGGAGAAGGTCTAAAAGCAAAACCCAGCCCACTTGAGGGTGTGGTCGGGGAATCCTCCAACGGGCTGGTTCTTGACTCGCTCTGACGCTAAGAGATTTAAAAACAAGCAAAAAGAAAAGAAAAGAGGCTTTTATATTACTTAAAAGAAAGAAAAACAATACCTTATCTCCGGTTGCAGACATGGCGTTTTGTGTACATGTATTTACATGTATTTGTGAGCATGCGCAGTGGGCACTGCCTCGAAAAAGTCCCCGGGAATTTCGAAGAAAGTTTACGGAGTTGAATGGACGGATGTGAACGGAGCCGTTAAGATTAATTTCCGCGGTTTAATTCAAAGAGGAGGTGAAGATTTTCTGGTAGGAGGAGGAGAAGGAAAAGTGAGATAAGAGCAGGACCAAAAATAGTAGCCAGAGAGCCAGGAGAAGACAGCCAGGCATAATGGATAGACACAGGAGAGCCATGAGCGTTGGAATCACAGTCAAGATTAAAAGGAGTAGTGGTAAGTCCTTATATTGAAGTGGATTTAAATTTTTCTCCTTTTAGGTTTAGTCCATGATGCATCAGTGACTGGGATAGACTCTTTGAAAGGCCTCGTGTCTGTGGAGTGGTATGAAAGTGGAGAAACTAAAGGAAAAGAGGTACATATACATACATGTACATTAAAAGATATAAATACATGTATTTACATGTTTTTGGCAAGGAATTAATATTGTGGATTGAAAAATTGCCAGTATATTTAAAAATTAAACAATTATGGTATGCATCCCATATTAAAATTTGTGTATACATGTACATGTATTTTATTAGATCAAAGGATTCGAAATTATTTCAAATTGGCAAGCATTTGACAGATGCATAACTGCAAATAGTGTCTATTTTAATATTTAACATCATTGTGATTTTTAACTCTTTTCTCACTCTATTTTCAGATTGATCTTGACTCGTTGATTCAACTCAATCCTCAGTTTGCTAATCTTATGACTCCGCCCACTTCAGCTACTAAAGCATCGAGAAGAACTAACATTGCAGCAGGACCCCTGAGTGTGAGCTGCATATTATTATTATTTATTTATTTATTTATTTATTTATTTTTTAATGTTAGGGTATACCTCGCCCCCAAGGTTCTGTTCGATTAAGAAATGTTGAGAATATTATTAGCACTAAAGGCAGTTCTAAAGGTGAGAGAGAGAGAGAGAGAGAACGTGTGAAAATACATAATTTACATGTTATGATATTAATGTGATTAATCCTTTTATATCGTGTGAAGTTGTAGTATTTGTAATATAGTATAGTTGAAGGTTGATTGGTTCTCTTGTTTTCTTGTTCTGTGTGTATGTGCCTGCTGTCTCCAGTGGTTGATGTAATAGCTATATATGACCTTGTTTTTATAACACTACATGTGTAATGTACCTCTCCCTCTTTTGCTTCTAAAATGACCTCTCTCTCTCCCTCCCTCTCTCTCCCCTTCTTGTTCTCTCTCTCTCTCTATCTCTCTCTCTCCCTCTCTCTCCCTCTCCCTCTCTCTCTCT